CCCCCCCTTGTGCCTTGCAGTGTTGGCCGGAGTTTGGCCGGAGTTTTGCCTGGGAATGGAGACGCCCTTCAGGGGCTCAGGCAAAATCCAAAGAAACAACACAAAACAAGACAAGGACAAAAACACTACTGTATATTTTAATGTAAGCTTTTGTAGACCCTTCCACTTCCTCTGACATTAAGAAACTGATATTTCATCTGTATTTCATTCCATTTGACTGTTTCTTAATGTCTGACGAAGTAGTCAGCCCACAAAAGCTTACATTAAAATATAGTAGTTAAGCTGGAAGGTGCCACGTGTTTTTGTTTTGTTTTGCTTTGTTCCTTTGGATTTTGCCTGCTATGTTTGCGCAGACTAAGGCGGGGGGGGGGCTCTTCTAAAACTACAGTACTCCTTTAACGTTGGCGCAGCCCCTCTTTCTCTGCCCATCCTTCAGTCACTGGACTGAGAGTTAATGCAAATAATGGGGCCCAGCCAGAGAACTGTGCAGGATGCAGCCTTAGGTGGAAAACAGCTGGGCAGCTTATCTCCGAGTAAATATGCTCTGGAGTGGGTTGCAAAAATGACAAAAGGAAGCCATCTGCATTAGTGTTCTTCCTCCCACCGCGAAGTGCGCTCTGCTTATTTAATGGCGTACTGAACTGCTTGTATCAAGCAGTTATTAGGCTAGTAATAGCCATCCAGGTATTTGGGTCCCAAACATTGTGCTCCACAGTTAGCAGTGAGGGAAGGGCAGAAGGCATCGTGTCCGGCATCTGGCCACAGATTGCTGCCCCCTGGCTTATCATGTGTGCAGCAAAAAAGTGTAATACTCCAGTTTAAATGTTTTTCACCATCTCTGCATTTTTATGGATCACATCATCATATTTGGAGTCCGGCCATTTCTGTTGCGCAAGCAAGCATGAATAATTGCTCCTGCTGGTTTAACTGTTTTTATCAGTGCTTAGCACGTTGGATGCGATTGGAAGCAGTAGACATTCGAGGTGGTGTTTTTTTTTCAGTTGGGGATCAATTTGATTACTTCAGAGTAGTTCATTTGTTGTCACAAGATGTGAAAAGTCAGTGGAGAAGAATGAGAATGGATGCTGAAAGGCCAAGAGATAATGTTGTGTATCCTTCTTTCAGAGTTAATCTTGGAAAGTGGTTAACAATGCAGTCCTAAAATATTTACTCCAGGAGAACCACCCAGAGTGGCCTTGGCTACCAGATGGGCAGTATATAAAAGGAAGGAAGGAAGGGTTGCAGCCTTGACTGTGACAGGTAGCAGCCACCTTAGCAGTAGCATGACATCAGCTGAAAAGGATGATCATTGAAATCTGTTTTTTGCCAATGAATTCCACAGTCCAAATATTTACAAGAATTACTGTTTGAAGCTTTGTACCCTCTCAGAAGCCCAATTGCAGGTTGTTGTTGTTGTTGTTGTTGTTGTTGTTGTTGTTGTTATTCAAAAACTCCAGGCACGGTCAAATTATAAAAACTTTGACTAGTGTTATATGACAGATACCAAAAACCTAAATATCTGTTAAAATATCGACACGGTATGTATGCTGTTCCTAATATTGCCATTTTTTGTAGCTCCGATTGTGGTGTGATTTCTCAGATCTGCAACTGCTTATAGTACTGTGTGAAATTTCTTGATATTGTTCCCAAAGCCCCAGTGACTACAGGGACCACTGAAGTGTGCTTGTTCTAGAGGCAAGATGTTTTGATTGACAGGTCTCTGTACTTTGTTAGTTTTTCCAATTCTTTATTTTCGACTCTGGCATCCCCTGGAATTACAATGGCAATGATCCGTACAATTCTTTGTTCTATTATTCCTATGTCTGGTGTGTTATGTTCAAGGTGTCTGTCCATTTGGACCCAGAAATCCCACAAGATCTTGACTTCCTCATTTTCTGACACCTTCTATACCTGATGTTCCCATGGGTTTTTGGAGGCCAGCAAGTTATATTTTTTGAAGAATGACCAATGCACTAACTTTGCCACTCTATCATGTCTAACTTTGTAAGCTGTTTGGACATTTGCATATGAGGTGTGACACAGTTTCGCCCTTTGCTGTTAGCACTAACTCCTTGGATCTTCGCATATGAGGTGTGACACAGTTTCGCCTTTTGCTGTTAGTACTAACTCCTTGGATTTTAGCTTCACAAATGTCTTTAATCCATGAGGTGTTTTTGTTATGTCCAGTTGGGCTTTCCCACATTTCTTTCCAAAATTTTGGAACATCATCTTTATATGGGTCTTATTTCTTTTGCTCTGAATTTTCTCCTAGTGATATATAGAATAATCATTGGTTATTTTGAAATTGCGTTCTTTCTCTATATTGTTTCAAGCATCCATCATATCTTTCAGTTTTCTTTGCTGTAGCCACTGTTTTAATTCTTCCGTAGTGTCAATATTCGTTTTCCTTTCTAGGTGGTATTATTATTGTTGTTGTTGTTGTTGTTGTTGTTAGGCATAATGCTAAGTAAGCCTGAATAAGATTATACCCTTGACACAAAAGTGTCAAGGGTGTACTTCGTTTATTTGTGCATCCCTGTGGAGTGCACGTCATGAAAGCTTATTCCTCAGTATTCTATCGTACTGCATGTCTCATGCTGTACTTTCTGCAATTGAGTAACATCCCTTCTGCAGTGTTTCATTCCCTGTAACTATTGACAAAAAGACCACCTAAGAACTGAGTAGATCTTGATTTTTACAGGGATTAGGTTTCATCATGTAAGATAACCACAGAGAGCCAAGTAGGATAATAAGTATTAGCTGAAATAAGAATTACAGGTTACAGGAACAAGGACTCATTTATGATAAAACAAATTGTCTAGAAAAGAATTAGTGGAGGAAAGACGCATTGTGATCCTGTTTGTCTATTAAGAAGCAAGTCCTGTTGCGTTCTGTGAAATGTACTCCTAGGGAAGTGGATACAGAATTGCAGGTCTTAAACTTTTGAAACGAATTGTGAATCCTAATGAATAAAAATACTTCTGCTGACAGGGAATGTAGAATCTGGAAAATATAAGCAGACTGAGGAAATATCTAATTGAATAATGAAAGGGTTCCCAGTAAAAGATCTTGTAGTTTTGTTGGGGATTTAAAAATCTTTTTTTCTGGAGTTCACTAAATAAGCAGAGGGGTGAGAAGGGAGGGATTAGTGCAGCTAGTGGGGGTTACCCCCCCCCAGCAACCTTGCAACTCCTTTTATGGATTATTTCAGTTTATAGAGGGAATTGTGTCCTTTCCCCCCATAGTATCCAAGAGAGAGGGAACTAAGGGTGTGACTACATTGAATTGCTGCAATTGGATTCACAGGCTGTATTATGTTTGAAATCGCAATCAGTGCTCATACTGGGGTTGCCGGATGCAGTGTTCTAGCCCATAGCCCTCCCTTTTTTTCTTTCCTTCCTCTGGTCCCACCTTTGCTGATCCTTCTTTCATCTGGTTCCATCTCTGCTGTTCCTTTTATGGGTCACTGTGAAGCTGCTTTCTCATCTGCTTCAGACTACAGTACTACATTTCTCAAAAACGTTTCTATAGAAAAATAACATGGAAAGGTACTTAGCAATCTAAGAGTACAGAACATCAAAAATTTGAACAGTAATTTTATAAACTGTATTCACACAGAATGATTTCATAGCAAGAATCACCACCTCCCCCTCCTCATCTCTTACTCTTTTTCCTTACTTTCAAGTAAGACATGTAGGAATTGCCTCATCTCTGGTCACAGTTTATCATGCCAATAGTTTAAAATCATATGTGAACAGAAATGAAGTAAGTACTTCTTGTGTTACTTGCAAATAAGGGAAAAGAGTAAGAGATGGGAAAGGGAAAGTAATTTTAATAACACTTTCAGACCTGTCAGTTGAGTAATTAATAGCTCTTTCTCAACAAAAGAGCCTTCCCATACAATCTGATAGGATTCAGGACTAGCACCTAATCCCCTACCTTAAAATCATGGTACTTTACTCCCCCCCCAACACACACCTGAATATCATGCCTCAATTGACTACATCACCAAAATCCCACCTACAAAAATGTCCCCCTCCCCATATAAGAATGTATCACAACTAACTGCACGGGGAAAGGCCTGTTTGAATTGTTCTAGCTGATAAAGTTAAAGCTCCCAAATAGTAGAGAAAAAAGGCTGCTTTGGGAGCAAAAAAGAGGTGGACCAATTCAAACCAGCCTTTGCATCGTGTAGTCAGTAAAAAAAAATGAATCCACCCATGTTATAAGCAGAGCAAATCCCACCGTCTTTGTCACTGTAGTCACACTCTGACTGTTAAAACTAGTTTTAAGTCTGTAGCATTGACGTGCACATCGAGGTCAGGAAAGGAGTGTCCTGAGAGCGAATATTACTC